CCTAGCATGCTAACGTCATCTTTGACCCTCTATTTATTACCTTGTCTTTGGCCTGAAATCCAAACTCGGCTTAGTTTTCCTCTCCAACCACATTTCCAACTGTTTCCAACCTGCAGTTTGCGTTCTAGCACAGCCAGACTCTCACTCTCCCACCAAGCCTTCATGCTCTTTCTTCTTTGTCATTTACCCTATTCCTTCCATCTGGAAGGGGTTCTTTTTCTTTCTAACTTTTCTTTTAATTTTTAATTTTTGTGGGTACATAATAGGTGTATGTATTTATGGGGTACATGTGATATTTTGATACAGGCATGGAATGTGTAGTAATTAGAGCACGGAAAATGGGGTATCCATCTCCTCAAGCACACATCCTTTGCGTTATAGTCAATGCAATTATGCTCTTTTAATTATGTTAAAATACGACAATTAAATTATTACTGACTACAGTCACCCTGTTTTTCTTCCGTCTGTCCTGAAAACCTCCAGCTGGTGGTTCACAACCTGAATCTAGCCCACAGATGTATTTTGTTTGGCTTGCATAATTATTTCATAAAACCCACAGTCCCACTAGTTCCTATTGTTTTCTAGATGACTGGGTTCACACTTTTATATTATCCACCCTGCCCATGTAGACATCTGAATTGTGACCTCTGAGAGCCAGACTGTGCCTTTCCTAATAGGCTCAACCTAATTATTCCTTGATTAAGAAATCACCCCAGGCTCTTTTAGCTCCATCTCACTCACTACCTCTCCTGCATTCTGAAAACTTTTGGCTTTGTCACAGAATTTAGCACTTAATTATATGCAGCTTGACATTTGCTCTTGTCACTGTAGACCTTTCTGGCACATGTTGAGACAAGGCTAACACTTTTTGTTATTTCTCTTTTCAACCAAGGTAATATCTTTCTATCCAACAGCTCACTAAACATTATCTAAGCATCTATGATTTGTTAGGTACCATGCTAGGCCTTTGGGATGCAAAGGTGTTGAGGACAAGCTCCTCTCTTATTAGAAACTAAGTCAGAGAACTTATTTCCCATCACTTGGCCTCAGTGGTCTATTCGTTATTTCAGAGCACACGTAGTCCTTCCTAAGCCTCATTCCCTGGTTAAAACTCTTCCTACTGCTACAATGGACTTTCTCTGAATATTTAAATCATATATGTCTTTTGAAGCTTGGGTCAATTTCCCTTCATCTGACTTGCCTGGCCCATTTCACAGACATGTGTCTACCCCGTCTCTTGGAAATTTGACATAGGCCATCATTTAAAGAAAGTGTTCTTCTGTGGGTGTCCTGGATGTGATTTACAGACTCTCCAAGGACAGGGCTGATCTAGTCTTACGTTTCCCCTGTATTTCCATACTACCTGGGCATAGTTCCGAACTCTGAGCAGATACTCAATAATTAATCTCTGTGGTTTGATTGATCCTCCCATCTTCAATTAGTCTACTTTCAAGAAATATATGCTGACACTAATTTTATTTTTTATACTCAGTGGAATCCAGTGAGGAAGGTAAATCTGCTGTTCTTGCATTAAAACATCACATAAAAAGCAAGTACTAACTTTGAGTACTGCTCAGCTTCCAAAGTTGTTTATACATCAGTTCAGAATTCAGCCTGCATTTTCCCACAGACATAATGCCTTGGGGTTGGTCAGGCATAATGCCCCCCAGGCCAGCCTGTATGAACATGCTTAACCTGTAACGTTTTGAACTCGGGGGCAGAGATGAAAGCTCACATTTACTTCTTCTCATTGCCTGAGGAGTGTGGACGTTATATGTACTTCACCTTGCCTGACAATCACCACACTGTGCCCAGCTTTACAATATCTATTTTCTCATCTGGATAGTAACCCCTATGAGCACAAGGACTGCATCGGTCTTGTTCACTGTCATATCCTAGCACAGTGCCCAGCACATTAATTGAACAGTCAATAAGTATTTGTTGATTTGGATTGAGTTAAATTCTAGTTGAAAGATGATGGACTTTGGAGACAGATAAGCATGGATTTGAATTCCAGTGCCATCACTAACTAGCTGTGTGGTATTGTGGCCTCGCTGAGCCTCAGCTTATCCCTCTGTATTTTATTAATTCATAACTGCCAAGTTGCTGAGTATGTGGTTAATACCAAAATGTTTTTTCTTTCCTTCCTTATCACCTTAATCCCTCAGAAGCATGTGATGCATTAATTAATGATGTCTCTTCTTAGTACACTATTTGTTAAGGTGGTGGTGACAGGGAAAGCAATATTCGAAGCCAGGACCTTTCTGCAGCTTTTGGGGAGTGGTGGGTTCTATTTTCAGCTCTGGTTCTGACAGACCGTGTGATCTAAGTCACACAAACGTGTCTGTGAGACAACGATGAGCAATTTCAGTTATATTCAGGCTTTTCCACATAAATATTAATCATTTCAGGTGAGCGAATATAAATGATCAGTGTTCTGGTGGCAGAGTTCAAAGGTTAAATTTATTTGAATTCAGTCTTATGTTTTATCTTATTCATGCATACTTCATATTCTAATCATGGTGGGTACTTATTTTTTAAATATTGACGTAATGTTGTTCATGCTGATAAATGCTTGCTATAGCCAAACACTGTGCTAAGCACTTTATATTCAGCAGTCAGTTCATTTTTACTGTGGTTCTTTGAGTAAGGTGTTATTATCTCCATGTTACTGATGAACACACTGAGGCTTATATGAGTTGAAATAAGTAATCTCAGGCTACAGAGAAAGTTAGAGGCAGGGCCAGAATTTAGTTTGTCCAAATCTTAACATTTCCCCTATACTTCATCAAAGCATAGGTAAAAACCGAGACTTCCTATAGTCATCAAATACATTAATAAAAATGCCTTCTCTTTTATATCTGGGGGCAAGGAATGACATGATTCAGTGATGATAAGTGTAGTTAACCTTTCCAGAAATACCCCCAGGAGACCAGTTATTTGTCCACTTAAAAACTCTTTTTTGCAGTTGGGTGTGGTGGCTCACACCTGTAATCCCAACACTTTGGGAGGCTGAGGTGGGTGGATCATGAAGTCAGGAGTTCAAGACCAGCCTGGCCAATATGGTGAAACCCTGTCTCTACTAAAAATACAAAAATTAGCCAAGCATGGTGGCGCATGCCTGTAATCCTAGCTACTCAGGAGGCTGAGGCAGGAGAATCGCTTGAACCTGGGAAGTGGAGGTTGTAGTGAGCCAAGATGGCACCACCATACACTCTAGCCTGGGTGACAGAGTGAGACTCTGTCTCAAAATGAAAAAAAAAAAAAAAAAAAGCTCATCGTCCTGGGGTCCCAGCCCTGCCATTAATCAGTGATCTGTGGGACATCTGTAGTTCAGTTTATTCATTTGTAGAACAGAGGGTGGCTGACACCTATAATCCCAGTACTTTGGGAGGCCAAAGCGAGAGGATTGCTTGAGCTGAGGAGGTTGAGGCCAGCCTGAGAAACATGGCAAGACCCTACATCTACAAAAAATTAAAAAATTAGCTGGGCATGGTGCCGTGCACCTGTAGTCCCAGCTACTCAGGAAGCTGAGGTGGGAGGATTGCTTGTGCCCAGAAATGAGAGGATACTGTGACCTGTGATCACTCCATTGCACAGCAGCCTGGGTGATAGAGAGAGACCCTGTCTCGAAAACAAACAAACCAAAAACAACCTATCCTGGAAGGTGAGTCACAACACCACACCCTCTTGGCTATGTGGTGAAAAGTGAAGAAAGAAGAGAAGGAGATGGTACAGTTATTGGGAAGTAAAGAAGTTGCCAGCATCTTTGTTTCTTCAGAAGAGATGACTTAGCACAGCTATTATTTTTCACCAAACTCTGAATTGATAAGATGTAAAGTAGTTTAGACAATATTATTTATCCATCTGTTCATTCTTTCATCTGACCATCTATTTATCCATCCATTGACATGTTCATTTTGCATATTTATACATGCACTTAATGCTCACTCTCTGTCAAGCATGATGCTACACTTTGGACTTTCCAAATGGAATGGTGTGGTCCCAGGAAATAGGAACAAGGTTTTGTGGGTACTCAAAAAGAACAAGCAATTTTGCCTGAGGTAAGGTGGAAGTTTGGGGTGGTTGAGTTCCCAAAGATGATGATTTGGCTCAGTTTTTTCCCTGGTGAGCAGGTTATTGGCAGGTGAGGACAGAAGGTGAGGGAGAAGGACATCTCAGACACAGAGAAAAACATGCTCTTATCTCTGGCGGTTCTCATCTCTGGGGAACTTGTGAGGAATGAAACCTCTCCAGACTCCAAGGACTGAACTGTCTGAAGAAAGTGCCTATAGTCCAAGGTGAAGGTGTGGTGGACTCTGTTTCCCATCATGAGTGTGGGAAGATCATAATCAGAATTCCAGGGAGAAGGTAGGAATCCAAGAATGGTTGATCTGACTCACTGTAAGTGAGATTTGATACCGTTTTAAGGAAAGGGGTTGGCAGCAAGAATACCTAAGAGTTAGTTATGTATTACTAGGCTACACTTTTAATATGGAAGGACACTGTTATTATAACCCCTTACTTACTATGTTTCAAAGAACATATCAGGTACATGTTTCTCCCAGCTGCTTCTGCAGCACCTCCTCAGGACACCTTCTCAGATTTCCTTAGATTGGGTAACTTGACTTTTTTCTGAGCTTTCTCAGCTCCCTGTAATAGCACTGTCAGGAGCCTTCCTTTACCATGTGATTCTTCCCTAGTTCTATGTTGCTAATACACTGCGGCCTCTTAAAACCAGGGGCTAGATTTTCTGTCTTTGAATCCTCAGCACTCAGGACAGAACATGACACATAGTGAGTCAAGGGTACTAGTCTGTATTGAAATTTATGTAGAGAGCTTTTACAAAATAACAATGCTTGAGTCTTACTACCAGAGACTTAGAATTTGTCTTGGGTAGAACCTGGTTATGGATTTATTTGTATATATGGAAAATCCATGTTCTAAAAATGCAGCCATGGTTACAGACCACTGAAGCAGATGCTTAGATAATGCTTCTTGATGTATTGGACTATAATGGATATTAACCTGGCCATCTCATTTTTTGGTAGGGCAGGGGGTTGGAGAGGAGATACAACCTGCTGTTTAGGCAGCTTCTCAAGGATCTCAATTCACTCCAGGTCGCAGAAACCTGGGGGTAGATGACTACTTCTAGATGCTGCATACTTATCTGAAAAACAAAACAAACAAACAAACAAACAAACAAAAACAACCTTAATGTGCTCTCAGGAATAAACACATGGATTTGCTTCAAGATGGCTAGGTTATACTAATCAACAAAGCTAGGCTGTCACTGGTGAGAATGGAAAGTGACTGATCATTCATAGAAACAGCTTTCCCACTCACCAGCTTGTTGGGGAAGGATCAGCTATGGATTCAAAGTGGGGGGCACTGAGTGTGTTACAGAAACTGGAAAATGAGGTGGCCATCTTTCTGTCCACCACCAGAAACTGTAGATCAAATTGGGAAATTTAGAATAAATCAAGAAAAATAAATGAGTTCTCCCTTGCCCAAATTTATTTTAGTATTGGTGGATCTGAGAGATTTAGTGGAGGGAGAGGGAGCACATAGCCTAAGCTTTCCAGGAAGAGCTTGGGATGATGGTGTTTGAAATGTGGTAGAACTTTAAAAATGTTGAAATCATTGTTGTTGGTGATAATTGGAAAACAGTAAAAACAAACAAAACCAACACACATGCTTTTTCAACATTAAAACCGAGGCATATACTCTGTTGGGGGTGGGACTGAGAGAGAGTGAATCCATACTTCTCAAAATGAGGAGAAAAGCCCTTGTTCTAGGAGGCAGTGATTTTGCCAGCAGCATGGAGAAGGGCACACATTGTCTCCTGCTTATTTTTTATTTATAGAGATGGGTTTCTGGGGAGGGTTTTGATTATATCCAATCTGAACTGACAAAAGCAACCCTGATGTCTGTGTAACTGCATGCGTCTATCAGGATACAAATTCACTTCTTAGATCTATTGGTCTTTTCTGGCCAATTCTGTTGCATTTTAGATAAACATACTTTCTCTGTCCTTTCTTAGCAAAGGAAAAGAGGTTCAAGGGTGAGATTTCAAAACCTCCCATTGCTAGTCATTTTTCTAAAGTTTCTGGTAGAATTAATCCCTAAGCAGACCGGTCAGTGAGAGTGGGCTCTGAATTCTGGCGGAGGCACAGGATGCTGTATGTTTCATGAGATTGACATCCCTGCTTGGTTTTGTGCCTGCCTGACTTGGAAGGGATTTGTAGGAAGAGTCCATTTTGAAAAATGAGGATAGTAGAGTTTTCATTTGGGGAAACCCTACTGAGGAAACTATATCAGTAATCACTGAATGAGCTTCTGATGTATATGTTCTCCCTCTAGAGGGTGGTGGGATGATTAAGGGTATTTTCACTGTAGGAAAGTGAATAGCAGGTTGTATATATTTTTTGGTTTCTCTCATTCTCTGTCAAAGAACCCCTTAGTCTTTTGTATATGGTCAAGCTGTGTTGTCAGTGCAATTGAAGAAAACTGTCCCCAGAAGCTTCCGGATTCTTTATTCTAGCTTCATCCCCTCCTCTAAGAACCTTTCCTTTCTCTCTGCAACAGTTACGTGACATCTCCTATTAACCTTTCTAATTAATCAGTTAATTAAAAGAAACTTACATCGGCTTAATAAAATCATGGTGGTGACTTACTCTGTGACAGGTACCTGTGCTAGTTGTTTCTTTTTTTTTTCTTCTTCTTTTTTATATGAGGAAAGCCTGAGAATACATAGATTGGGGACAGCAAGGGGGTAGTGGAGGAACAGTGGTTTATGATTAAATTTTTATTTTCTTCCTTGTAGCTTTCTATTATTTCTAAATTCTCTACGAAGGGCACATATTACTTCTACAGTAGTAGAACAACTTTAAACAAAAAATCTTTAGCACAACTCTGATATAAATTCTAGCAAGTTGCCTGTTACTTTACTCCGGACTGTTAAAACACCTGTAAACGTCTTCCAGATGAAACTTGTTTTCAAAAACAAATTCAATCAATCAGTGAAACAGGCCAAGGACTATGTATAATATACTAAATTTTTTTGGAAAGTATGTTTTATAGCTAGAAAATGGGGAAGGGAATGAATTGTAAACTCCAATATGCAACCTCCTTTAGATTTGAGATTTATATAATCTTTGTCATTTATGATTTGTGTCCTGACCTGGCCATAACCCAGGAAGTAAAAAAGATGACACTTAATTTATTTATTAATTTTTTTTTTTGGATTGGAGGTTTCAGTGGGACGGGAGAATCACAAGGCATCAGGTGTTCACAGGAATGTATTGAGTAGAGGTGAGGAAGTAGGATGTTGAAAAGTAAAAAAAGGAGAGAAGGAGAGGAAGAAAGAGGAAGGAAAAGAGAGAGAACAGGAATATTGCTTCATTCTAAAAATGGGTATTTATAATGTGCTAGTTGTTGAACACAAAATAGTGACACAGACCTAACCTCTGTCCTCAAGGAACACAACAGTGATTCACAATCTATTTGTTTAACAGTGTAAGGGGCAGATTGGAATGAATATGTTAAGACTTTCCACCTCAGAGGAGCTTATAGTCCAGTATTTTAATGCTGTCATTTAGGGCTGGTGATGATGCAGAGGCATTAAACAAAAAAGGAAACAGATGAGAAACACTAGCTTGCCATTGGATGCGGGAGGAAGGAGGGGGAAGTCATGGAGAGAGGGAGGGAACTGAGCATGAAGTTGGGAAATGAGAAGTGGAAACCCTATCTGGAATGGCTTTCTGGATAAATAGTTGCAAAGATTTTCACCACCATGGAGTCCTTTTCTTATCCTATGCCCCTGGATGCATGTTTTAAAACACATTGTCTCTCAAACAAGTAGCATGCGTTAAACATTAAATAATTTTGTTACTCATTTAAATTAATTAATATTATATAAATATCATTCAGGATTTTCTGACCAGCAGAGTTAAACAGGTTGCCTACCTAGAGTTTGTCTTGTTCTCATTCAGACAAGTAATCTTGGTATTTTCGTTAGCCCATGCAGTAATACTGAAGATAAGTGAATGTGCAGTTTCTGTTAAGCTTTTCTAAATATTGCAAATAGCTCATATACCCTCCTTTCTGCAGTAGAAACCTTACCTGAGACCATTGCTGCAGGGCCATTTGTTCACGTAGTTTAACATTCACTTATGCTTTAAAAGTTTACACTTTGGGACAGTGTGTGTACAGAACCCAGGGCCTGTGACTTTATTGGCTCAGCATGTTGGTTAATTGACTTTAAAGTATTAAACACATATCAAAGTTGAAATAAATAATTGCTTAAGTAACGGTTTAGAAAATGAACAGTATATTAGCTAGTCAACTACAACTTGACAGTTTTGCAATTGTATTTACATTGTATTTATTTGGGGAGGTTTTTTTTTTTAATATCTTTGACACATGATATGAGATGGGGTCCTTCAAAAGTCACATTGTCTAGAGCCTGCTCCTTTGTGTAAAGAGCTCCAAGAAAGGAGGCTGAGTGGTATAACTTAAGATCTAAAAGCAGATGACCCTGTTCTTTCTGGAAAGTAGACTGGAGATGCAGTTTCCTTGGGCAAGGCATATCTGCTGTCTCCTATTCTATTGTGTGGATAAGCCAGCATTTATATAATAGGATTCATAATTTGGGGATTTATCTTGCTTGTTACATTGGGTATTAGACATAATACCATATTGCTATAAATAGCTGCACACAGTGCAAGAGCCTTGCAACCAAAAAGACATGAGAGCAGATCCAGCTCCAGCAGCTACAGTTCTGAGACTCTGGATAAGTTGTATAAACCTTTAGATTTCCTCATTTGTAACATGGGAAGAACGAAGGTAACAAATTTATAAGGTTATTCAATGAATTAAATGAGGTGGCTCATGTAAAGCACTTATCATAATGGCTGGCATATATTAAGTGTTCAATAAATATTGAATGATAATAATAATTAGAATGAATCTAATTTTACATCTTAAAATGGGGTAATACTTATCCCTGGGGTTCTTGTCAAGACTCATTGAGATATTGAACAGAAAGCACACAGCCCATTGCCCAGCACATAGTAAGAATTCAACAGATGTTAGCTTTGTTCTTTAAATTTTTTTTACCCCATAAATTCTTCCTGTTTTGAAGAATCAAATAGTCAAGTGAAGCATATCTGAGGCATATCTTCATAAGTGTCTCCAACCAGCCTTTATTCATCGGCATTAAGATATTGAACTTACAGACTTTGGGAAGTTTAATCTTTTCTGCTCTAGCCTGCGGGTTCCAGTATATTTTAATAAAAACCCTTGCAAAGCAACTTACAGGATCTAAATAAAAACAATGTTTTGCTCAATGAGTTGGTTTCATAGTTGTGCATTTTAAAAGAATGTTAGCCCATCCATGTTACTTTACAGTGCTATTCTGTCCATTTAGTAATGTTGGCAATGGTGATCCAGCTCGTGAGATCCAAGGTTGCATCTATAGCCAAGCATGGGGTGGGAGACCTGCTGGGTGTGGGGAAGGAGGAGAGCCATTCCCACAGCAGCCTGACACCTCTGAGCACAGGGCTTCCTGGGTGTATATCACTGGGATGTATCCACTCAGTCTCCTATGGACATGATTCCTTAGGATTGCAGTCTGACTTTCATTTCTTTCCAACTGAGAAAGAGTTCTATTTTATTATATAGGTGATTATGAACATTTGCAACAAAACATAGCAAGGAAAATTATCCCTTTAACCTCACCTCTGTCCCTCTTCCCTCCCACTCATTGATAACATTGTTAATGGTTTGCCATGCATTTTTTTCGCAGACTTGCTGGACTTAGAAAATACATTTTTAAAAAAAATGTCTATATTACATATGATGCTCTGTAGTCTCTTTTTACTGAACACATTAAGGATATATTTTCAGGTCAAGATCTATCTACTTTCTCCTCCATTCTGTGAATACACCATCATGTACGTAATAGGATTCCTGATTTGACCACATTTATCTTGCTTGCTGTGTTTAGATATTATAAACAATGCAATATGCTACAAGCAGCTGTGCACACAACTGTTTGTCTTATGATGTTCTTTGGACAGATTTACAGATTGATTTATCATCTGCAAAGTGCTGCCACATCCATTCATTTATGTGATCTGAAGAGGTGGAGGCAGAGGCAGTCACAAG